TAGTTCCGGGTAGAAGTACTATTCGCTCAGGTTGCTTTTCGTAGCTTAACCTAGGTAGAACCTTTTAGCCTAAGGGGATCCAGCTTATATTTCCGGGTAGAAGTACTCTTTGCCGAGGCTTGCTTTTCGTCGCTTAACCCAGGTAGAACTTTTTCACCTAGGGGGATCCAGCACATAGTTCCAGGTAGAAGTACTCTTCGCTCAGACTGTTTTTTGTAGCTTAACCCAGGTAGAACCTTTTCACCTAGGGGGATCCAGCTCATAGTTCCGGGTAGAAGTACTCTTCGCTCAGATGTTTTACAATAGCTTAACCCAGGTAGAACCTTTTTCGCCTAGGGGGATCCAGCTCATATTTTCGGATAGAAGTACTCTTCGCCCATGCTTGTTTTTCATAGCTTAACCCAGGTAGAACATTTTCGCCTAGGGAGATCCAACTCATAGTTTCCGGGTAGAAGTACTCTTCGCTCAGGCTATTTTTCGTAGCTTAACCCAGGTAGAACCTTTTTGCCTAGGGGGATTCAGCTCATAGTTTCAGGTAAAAGTACTCTTTGCTCAGGCTGTTATACGTAGCTTAACCCAGGTAGAATCATTTTGCCTAGGGGGTTCCAACTCATATTTTCGAGTAGAAGTACTCTTCGCCCAGGTTTGCTTTTCGTAGTTTAACCTAGGTAGAACCTTTTCGCCCAGGGGATTCAATATCCTTTCAGTAATACAGAGTGCCAGCCCCTGGTTACACTCCTTTTTGTAATACAGGGTACCAACCTCTGGCTACACTCCTTTCGGTAATACAGGGTACCAACCCCTGGTTACCTTCCTTCTCAGTAATACAGGGTGCCAACCCCTGGTTACACTTCTTTCAGTAATATAGGGTACCAATCCCTGGTTATATTCCTTCCCAGTAATACAGGGTGCCAACCCCTGGTTACATTCCTTTCAGTAATACAGGGTGCCAACCCCTGGTTACATTCCTTTCAGTAATACAGGGTACCAACCCCTGGATACATTCTTTTCGGTAATACAAGGTACCAACCCCTGGTTACACTCATTTCGGTAATATAGGGTACCAACCCCTGGACATATTTCCTTTCGGTAATACAGGGTACTAACCCCTGGTTACATTTCCTTTCGGTAATACAGGGTACCATCCTCTAATTCCATTTCCTTTGGTAACATAAGTTACTTCCCCTCGTGGTTGCATATCCTCACATAGTTTATACTACTCCTGTTGTCTTCATTTCAACAAATTTGATACTTTATAGCTTTCTCTAACTTACAAAATTTTTCCAGTGCCAAACTGGGGCAGAAAAATTTTGTTTGTTTTGTTCGTCTTTGATGGCTTTGCAGGCCCCGCCGCATAGCACAAGTGATGATTAAAGCTTGCAGTTTCAGCTTTCTCATCAGAATAAAGAAGTTTTTCGGTCACAAGATAGTTGGAGTTAGCTTGGATAATGTGTTAACAGCCAAGCTTCTCGAGTTTCATTTTCTCGAATTCTGATCCGAAAAGCAAGCAATTGAGAATGAGCCCTGATCTTTTTCTTCAAAGAGCATCAAGATCCAATCTAAGGTCAACACAAGCAAGAAGGTCAAGAATCAAGATTTGACTCCACAAGACACATAGATTAGGAATTTTGTAACTCTGAGTTTCCAGACATATGTAGTTCTTTCTCTTTTCCTTTTGATGCAAGCAGCAAGTAACAGTAACAGCAACAATAACAGTAACAACAGTCTTAAATCTAAGTGTCTGGTAGTCCCAGCTACCAAATTTTCCCAGAAATACACTAACCTGATTTTTCTTAACAAGGATATGTAGGCTACCTCGGAAGCAGGGTTCGGTCACCATTTTTTTTTTAAAAAAAATGCTTTCATTGGAGTGATATGTGAGCAAATATTAGCCATGGCATTCACTTTTCTTTGCACGAAAACTCTTCATGTTCTCGAGCAAAGAGGGGCAGCTGTGAATACCTAATTTTTGTACTATTTTAACACCTCCTAAAGTCATTAGTGTTTTGTTGCTTTAATTATATTTCCCAATTTTTGTGTCTTTGATTGCATATTTCCTATCATAAAAATACCAAAAAATAGTTCTTTCTTTATTTGTGCATTTTAGGAATTAACTAACTATTCAATTGGTGAATTAATATAGTTAATTGATCATTTGAATAAGTTACTTAATTAATTTATTTGTTTGTGTAAATTTAGTTTAATAAGTAGGATTAAGAAAGAAATTGGGCCAAATTTGAAAGAGAAAGTGGCCAAAAGTGCAAGATAAGGGGGCTGCCCTTGAAAGGGTCCGAAACGACGTAGTTTTGCCTCAAAACTACGTCGTTTCATTAATTGACCCAAGATCAAATCTCACCCATTGATCACCCCTTGATCTAATGGTCCATATTTGATCTCTCAAGAGGTATTTAAAGCCTCAAAAATCTGAAAAATTCCCTCATTTCCTCCATAACTCTTTCTCTCTTCTCTCTCTTCTCTCCGCCGTCGCCGTCGTCGTCGCCGTCGCCGGAAATCACCCACCGGTGGCGTCCAACCTCCAAACACCCCCAAATTCACACCATGTAATCTCTACAACCTCCTTTTTTCATATCTCCAAACCAAATCCTTCAAAACCCTCTCAAACGCCTTAAAATTTAGATCTAGGAAACTTTAGCCGCCACTTTTTTTCCCAAATTATTGAAGTTCCGGCCACTACCACCCCACAATACCTATATCAACGGATAGAGCTCATCAAGACCTACCTATTGATGTCAATTTCATTCCGAAAATCCGACAAACTAAATATCCGGCCAAATTCCGGCGACCACCCCGAACACCCTCGTTTGGTATATCCCTATTCTCATTTTCTTTGTCTATTTTTTCTAATTGTATTGTATTTAGTTTATGTCTAGCATAATTTCTGATTTTTTTAAATTTATTTTTATTATTATTATTTATATTTTTATTATTAGTTGTGTTTAATCTATGTTAGCTTAGTCGTTCATAGTTATTAATCACTGATAATTAGTTATTCATTAGTTTTAAAATAGCTATTTGCTTAGTCATGATAGTTTATGATAGAAGTTTCAAGTGCTTAGTGAATTTCTTTTTATTGGATTTGAGTATTTGAATTTTTGTGTTGATAAAAGCTGAAATTAAAGAAGGAATAGTACAAGTTTGGTTGTTTTTTACTGTGCAAAGACTTTGGAGTGCAAAACTCAAAAGTCATTGTGTGGTGACAAGTACAATACTTTTTGACAGCTTTTGAACAATGTTTAGCACACAAAGTCAGTCTTTTGGATAGACTTTTGGTGAACCAAAATCTGTCCAAAAAATCTGATTTATTTGCCTATTTAAAGGGTCCTTACTCACTAAAAAGGAACAGACACTCTATTACACACTCTATCTTATACTGAGACACATTTTGGAGAGTTGCTTAAATACATATATCTTTGAGAAAAATCAGCAACTTAATACATATAACAAGCTGAAATTTCAGAGTTTTATGAAGATTATTTGAGTGCAAAAACCTTGAGAAAAATAGAAAGATCCCTTAGGCAATTTGTGAAGTTGATAGCTACCAGTTTCAAGCATCTTTGTTGAGTTTTCTGGGTTGTCTTAACACTTGAGTTGCTGCTGTTTCTACTGTATTTGCTGCTAAGTTTTTTGTTGCTGTACTGCTGTATTTTATTATTCTACAAACCAGGTAACTTTCAAATTCTTATATTGCAGATTCTTGATGATAATAAGAAGGATTTGATCCCGGTTTGGTTGATGGAACATATTAGATCTGATTTTGTTTCAAGATGAATGTTATATTAGTGTTATCATCATGTAAATCTGTTAAAAATTAGTTAAATTATCGTTTTCTTCTTTATATATGTGATTGAAATTGCATTCTGTTAAGATTACTTAGTTTAAGGAAAAGATAAAGACCCCACTTTTAACCATGTTTGTTTAGTTTGGGCTCTTTTCCGTGAGTTACTTTCATGGTTCATGTATAATTATCTAAGAAAGACTTCTAGCTTCAAATGTTTTGATGCTTTGAATTATAGTCAACATAATGTTATACTTAATATAGTTCTTCTCTTTAGCATTGAAGTATTACCGTTTTTGATAATTTTTATATTTAGTCGTGATTTTTATGTTGTTAATGAGTGTAGTTTGATTAGTGCCATGATTGGTGTAGATGAGTAGAAATATTATGTTAGTCCTTAAGAAATAGTTGGTTAAGAAGATAAAAGATAATAATTAGCATGTAAGTTTCTTTTATGAAAAAAAATAATTTTTAGTTTGGACATCAATGTAAGAAGCAATTTGGGCTTAGAAGAATACTTGTTATTTTGTGTTGTTTTGGTCGTCGAGGCTCTTAACCAACATGGGCCAAATAAGCTAAAATTTGTAGGCCCAATGACAATAGAAAGTAAGATGAGCATTTTCTTTAAAACCAATAAATTATCTTTTGTTAAATAAAATAAGTGGCCCAATACCATGAAAGTTTAACATAAGCTTACCCGAGTTTAATGTCTTGCATTAGTGAAAATTATTTTTAATAATAATATTTTTTTTTTCAGTCGAACAAGTAAATGAAATTTTCCTCCTCAGCCGGAGGCGGAACCGGCTCCCCCTGAACCATCCTCGGAAGAGTAAGAAAGGAGAAGGGAACGGGAGTTTCTCGCCTCCAATAAATAAAAAAGAAGCGTTTTTTAATTAATTTAAGCGATAGGCAATTTTAGGCACGTTTGAGATGTAGACCATGTGTTCATACATGGTCCTTGATCAATATTTTTTTTAATAAAGTAGTCATGTGTGCATTCCCGCTCCTTGACTTTTCAATATTAATTGTATTTAAACCATGTGTACCGACACGTTCTTTATTTTAATACATATAATCAAATAAGGACTTTGTGTGCTTGCACGCTCCTAGGCCAAAATTATTAATTATCAAGCAGCACTAGACGATAGTAACTTAAGGCAAATAATACACACTTTATCCAAAAATAATTCAAGCCAAATTTTAGTCAATAAAATGGACCGTGCTAGAACCACGGGATTCGGAGAATGCCTTACACCTTCTCCCCGGTTAACAGAATTCCTTACCCGGACTTTATTTTCGCAGACCAATAATAATAGAGTCAAATCTTCCTTTGATTAGGGATTTAAATAAAAGGTGACTTGGAACACCAACAAAATCAATTCCAAGTGGCGACTCTGTAAATAAAATAATCCCTCTTCAATTTTATCACTTTAATTGGAAAAATCCTTTAATCCACACATTATTATTTTGCGGGTAGAAAAAGGGGTGCGACACCAAGTGCACCTCAATTCCTCACACCTTATTCCATCTCTATTCAAGTCAAATAGAAGAAAAGTTCCACTCCTTGGACCAGCAGTCATGTTACATAAAAGATTAGGTACCAATTCTCTAGTATTATTAATTGGAACTATATACCTATGAAGATTTGATTGTTTAAGGCCGACCGTAGGAACACTTACATAGTTCATTTTACAGTCGATGTATCGTGGATCAATTAACTCACTAATGACATCTACATTGAATGATATAGGTGACATTGACCAGTTGAAAATTAGATTATGCTCGAAGTTGAAATAGAGATATAAACCATCTTGCATTATATTCCAAGTGCACCTTTTATGCCTAATATCACACCTAGGTACATCTCTGTAAAATTTAGAAAGAAGAAAGGTTCCATACCTAGGACCAGCAGTCATGTTACATAAAAGAGTTGGTTCTAATCTGCCTGTGGCGATTTCAACAGGATATCTATGAACATTTGATTCTTTAAGGCCAACTTTTTCTTCGATAATATTATCGTTCATTATACAATCGATATATAATGGATCGATCAACTCACTAATGACATCTATATTGAAGAAGTTTGCTTTTGCATAATAGGAAAATGATGATAGGAAGAAGAGGTAAACTAAAATGGGCATTTGCAGTTTGAGTGAAAAAGGCATATTTTCCTTATTGTAGTTGGTATATTTCTTTTGGTGACTCTATTAGTCAAAACTTTGGAGTTTAAGTTCTTATATAGGGCCTAAATATAATGAAGAAGAAAATTAATTTGTTAAGATGTTAATTGAAATTAAATACAATCATGAGTTAGATAATAGAAGGGGATCGGAAGTCTATCTAATGCAATCTATTCTAAGCTGCATTAATCTGTATGATACATATTCCTAACAGATGCATATAAATTTTAAAGTATATTTTTTATAATTAAAACACAAGGTCACGATTTGTTATACCATCAAATCATTTTGTATGAAAGTTTTATCGGATGTCCCCGAAGGGACATTTTGTATGAAAGTTACATCATAGAAATAATAGTTGACCCACCATATCTAAGCAGGACATAAAGGAAATAATCCGATCAATTATGAGGGTCAACGTCCCTGAAAATGAAAATAAGATAAAAATAAAAGTAGAATAAAAGAAAAGACACAATTCTTTGTCATTATATGTGTCAGTTAAACAAGAATTATCTTGTTTATGTAGAATTCCTTTTTCTCCTTGTCGCAGTAAACCGCTCCTTCTAACAAAAAAACCATTCTCCATAAAACATGGGCGGAAGATACTTATAATGAGTCAAACACTACTAGAAATTCGGTCAAAATTGACCGCGATCGATCAATATATTTCAGTCGGTCAAAAAATCGGCCGAAAAATTGATCGATTTCGGTCGGTTTATCAAAATATTTTATTTTTTAATTTTTCATTACCGACCAACTTTTGTCGGTTTTTTCGGCGTAAAAATGCGGGAAACTATTTTTACATTCTCGAAATTTATTTTACAAGAAACCAACCAACTTTGATAGGTTTTTCATTTAAAATAAATTAAAATCAATATTCAAAAAATCGACCGAAATCGGTCGGTTATTTCGGTGGGTCATTTTTAAAAACCAACCTATTTCAGTCGGTAATTTTATTTTTTTAATAAAATCGATCGAAATCGGTCGATTATTTTTGTGCGAAAATACAATTAAAGAGTATAAATAAAATAAAAAAAAGTCTTAAACTAAAATGCACCAACGGTCTAGTGGTAGAATAGTATCTTGCTATAGTATAGACCCCAATTCGATTCCCAGATGGTGTTGATACCCAATTTTGCCCTCATATTTTATAAATAATATATATACTTTCAAAATATCATTTTACATCATTACTTAATTTACAAGGGTTATATAAGTATTCTCTGTAATGTTTCATAATTTTTAAGGCATTGAAATTGATTTACTTTCATTTAAATTGTTCAAATATTTATTAATTATCCTTTAAAATTATTTTGTGATGACTTAATCATCCAAAATTATTATTTGCATCCACATATGTATATTTCATAATATTTTACTTGTTTATATATAATTATATTTGTATTTTAAAGTGATTTTACATAATTTTGCAATAATAGCCTATATTCTATACATAATTATATTTATTATATTATTTTATACTATAATAGCATTTATTATATTTTTATAATGTTGAGTTGTTATTTTCAAGCATTTTACTACGTAAATAATATTTTACTACTTATTAGTTATTTTTAATAATTATTTTTTTTGTAATTCCTTGTATTTAAAATCCAGCCGAATCCCAAGTCAATTTTCGGACCAAATTAATGGCCCAAACACCCCAAACCTTAGCCCAATCTGCCCTGGCCCAAACCAAATGACCTCTTTATTCCAATCCGGTCGGGACCCGTTTATTCAACTCGCCCCACCTTTCTTCTTAATCTTGGCCGTGGATCTTAAATGATCAATGACCCGAAATAAAACCCTCACTCTCCTTATATCCCCACTCCAAACCCTAGAGACCATTTTCTTTTCCCAGTCGCCCTCACACGCTCTCATCTTCTACGAACCCTAGGTGTCTTACCCCCTAAAAATCTCTCCGAATCCGGTTATACTATGGAGTCCTACGATCTGCTTACCTTATTTACACTACCCTGCAACTACTCACACGCTCTTGATGTTACTTAGTACTCGCCCTAATTTTGGCAAGTATCACCATTCCAGATCGGACCTGTTAAGCTTTGATCTTCAAGATTTGGACGATATCTCGTCCATATACACGGAAAATGGATTGATTCCCCACATCCACGGGTCGATTTTCAATCGTTGAACCCTAACTAGGGTTTGAAATTTAATTTCTTCCTTTGTCGGCTCTGTTACTGATTGCATGCAATATTTTCTTTCCTTATTTATGTGTAATCGATTGTTCTTCTTGTTTGTTCATTCAATTTCAACACTATATAAACCCCTCACCTAATTCCCCTAAATGGACCAGAATCACTGTTATTCTCTCACCCTCCTTCATTCTACTATTCTGAAATTTGAAACCTTGGCCAGCTGAAAGCCAAGGCAACCAGAATTCAATTGTTGCTCCTTCTCAGTGTGAGCACTGTCCGGGGTTCATTCGAGACCCTTGGGAACTCTAACGCACTGAGATTCTAGGAGTCTTGTTGTTTATTGCTAGTTGATTTGCTGTCGAAGCTTAATTTCCTTGTTCGTTTAATTTGCAACTGGTGAGTACTTTGACTATTGCAATTCTATGCTTAGTTGTGGTCATGACCTGAATACCATGCTTGTTCGAATTTTCTGAACCTATATGATTACAACATGTTATTACCTTTGGTTGCAATCCTATCTACCTTGAAGTTAGTTTATAGCCCTGTATTCTCTAGCATCTAAACCTGCCTAAATCCTGTACTCGGATGTCTTCCCACTATGTATATTTTGACCATCTTGAACTGACTTAGTCTACTATGTTTATGCACACATGATTTTTCTATGTATGTTGCTTGCTCATGTTCATGCACCGCTCTGAGTTATTGTATTAAAACTCCTGGG